TCTCTTAAATATTTAAGCAAATTTTCAAGAAACATTGTAATGGTATTTTATGTGAATTCTTGTTATTTGTATTTTTCTGTAATGCAATAATACAAAAATAGAGAATCATGAAACGAATAGATTGTTTTAAATTTAAACATATCCACTGAATCATAAACCGTATTACATATAGATTTTTATTGTTTAAAAATATATACGTTTTAAAGTACTTACATCTGTTACTCCTCGTGGAGCATGGGCCGTCAACCGATAATCTCTAGTATGCTCCGTCCTGGCCTCTCATTTCTAGTTCTTTTCAAGTACTTGGAGAACTACAAAAGCCATGATCCAGAAGATACAAGAGTTTATTTACAGTTGTCAAAATACTTCGTATCCGTTGGCCATACGCTGTCGGAGAGAACAAATCGGATTCCAACGGAGGAAGGAATCGAGAAGAAGCGCTGGAAGTGGATAGGACACAACTGCGTAACAAGGCAAGCCCTCACTTGAAATCCTCAAGGCCAAAGGAGAGGAGGAAGACTAAAGAAATCATTACGCCGGGAAATGGAGACAGACATGAGAAGAATGAACAATAATTGGATAGAACTAGAAAAGAAGGCCCGGGACAGAGTGGGTTTGAGAATGCTGGTCGGCGGCCTATGCTCCACTGGGAGTCACAGGCGTAAGTAACTATTCATTCTCTTGATGTCTACCTTCACTTCATGATGGAATGCGTTCTTCCCTTCTCTCCTTTTGTTTTAGCCTTAAGGATTTCAAGTTAGGGCTTACTTTTGATATAGTTTGATGATTTTCCAATGTGTGTCCATCTGGGACCCATATAGGGTTGCTTCTGGTCCTAAGGTCGTATAAAAGAAGATGGCTGAGTATAGAATTAGTAGCCACATCCCTTAGAAAAGAACCTTGCTAACAAACGTCCTCAAGAAAGAAATATATGCACATGACAAATTGCATATCTACGAACAATGGAATGCTTGTTAGAATTTCATGAGTTGTGGTTTGAAATTTTTCTAAAGTTTTAATAACTAAAAAATTAAATGTAAAAAAGAAGGAATATACGAAATCTGAGCAATACATGATCATTCAAGTGAATTAGGTATGTGTATTATTGTGAATGGCCAAAGTTTCCATTATAAGCAGTTAGTTTAAGCATAAATCTCTCCATTTATTTGACGGGGTTAGGTAAATGATGTCAAAGAATGAGACAGAAGCTCCACAAAAGTAGTTGGTCTATGCATAATGAAGTGGTCAGTCGTGAAAAGTTGTATTTCACTCTGGGGCAATATACTTAATCTACACATTGATTGAATCAAATATTTCAGATATATTAATTTAAAGTACAATATTTACAGAAAAACTGTAATATAAGTTTTTATGATGAAATAAAGAACTTTCTTTCAAGATCTTGTGACCAATTGGTATAGCTAGTTTAGAAATAATTCCAACTGCGAATAATTCTAAACTCATTAAGTTATGCTTTATTTGGTTAGTTAGGTAGAAGATTTCTAAGTAAAAGTATTTATTGTGAAATAAATTAATATCGGTATACACGTTTTATTAAATCTGTTGAATTTTAGGGTTAGCTTCACTGAGTGGTCTTAACTAAGCAGCCATTAAAAACCAAGTACTGGACAGCTGTTTCTTCAAAGTTTCATGGATGCTCACTTCTGAGCAGTCACCTGTTAGATCTAAATATCTATCCAAATGTTCCTGGTTTTTGATAGCTATCTGATTCAGGCAGACTCCTAACGTAAACCATATATAGGCCTAAAGTAAGGTATAGGTATTCCTGTAATGAACGAGAAGTGGAAACGACAGATTTATTAGTTCATACAAAATTACAGAATGTTTTCGTAAAATCTGAGAACCATACATCAAATGCTTCATTTGCAAATCTTCTATCAATTGTCTTTTACATTCTGTATGATTCTCCCAAATCACAATTCCTTCCTATTTCCCTTTCTGCTGCCAGCCACTCAACCTATGATTGATGTTACATACTCTTTATGTCTGTTGACGTAATTAGCATATACCATATCCCTATTTAAACTCAAGCGAATTAAGTGTAGAATCATTTTATTTCAATTAGCGTTTAATTATGGATTCACCTGTTCTACAAGTGACAGTCATTTTAGCATCAATTAACCAGACAATGAATTAGTGAGAGTAGTAAATGACCACGTGAGTACTTCAATGATAAATATGGGTATAGTAATCTCAGCATTCCCATGTGTAATTTATTAACGAAGTTTAAAAAGTTTCTATACAAATGATTGATCACCTATTATCTTTATAGAAAACTGAAAGTTCTTGTTGAAATGTAGTATTAACAATAATTAAGTGAGAATAAAAGGAGACCATCGATATAGTTTGGAAAATGTTAACGACAAGTAAGTTGTAAATAGTTGTCAATCATAACAAACATCTGACTGACAAGGTACAGGTTATATTTATGACCAAGGTAGCGCGAGAAAGGTTATAAATAACACTTGAAATCAATGATTCTTCTTGATGACATGATTATTGATGTCTGCAAACGCACTCAATGAATGTAAACATAAAACTTGTAGTAAACTAAATTGCATAAAAAAATCACATAAAGTGCTTTATATATTGTCAACTCAATGAGATGTACCTACTAGGTTACAAGGTATGTATATATTAAATACTGTTAATTGTTTTTTGCTCGATTCACTTTTACTTTTAATTCTGAACATTTGAAGAATGAAGATATCTTTAACTAAAGTTCAAAACCGTTGATTCACATTTTTAACTATTTTACTAAAATAAGATATGAATCGCTGTTAGTTTAGGGCGGAGTGTCTGAAAATCCGCAAGAGTTAAGCTAATGAAATACGTTGGTTTTCTTACTGTTATGTACTTATGGCCTGCGAATATATCACGTGACTGATCGCCAATTCGAACATCGACTTTCTGACCAGACCAATGACGCATAAACCAGTACAAGCAGTCTAGATTCAATTCTGGGTTCTTATTGGTCCACCAAGATGGTACCTTCTTGTCTAACCCAGCCGGTTTAGTCCAAAACACCAATATCAACCTTCACTTTATGATTCGTGTATTTCAGACATACTTAATTTATATACAAACAAACCTCACCACATCATACCATAAAACAGAAAATAATTATACAAGATCAAGCCAAAAAGTGGCTGTGATCGTAAGACTGTAATTCAGAAGTTGGGAATAAGTTAGGAATGGTAATTTGTATAATAGTGGACAATAGGTCGAATAGACGCTTTTATTCAGGGGAATATGATTATACATATGATATAGTTATTTAATATTTATACAATAAGAATAAACATATAATGACAGTTCATAAATAGGTCCTAGCGGTTACTGTTCACTTATTCTTCGTCCGGATATATAATACATAGATTATTAAAGCTGGTTAATCGAATCACAATAGGGCAAATATATTTATGTATTAAACTGATCACTTAATATACTTTTTGTCTTCTCATAAATAAACCTGTAATATATTTACTTTTTCCATAAAGTGACAATATTTACAATAAAATTACTGCCTCTGGTTACGTTACTAGTATGAATATATCATTTGGCAATTCATAAAGAAATTAATACTGTACTTAAAACTGAACATTAAAAATCTATCGAATACCAATTAATATATCCAACAATCAAAAAAAATGAAAAAAAATTCCGTAGAATTTCCTTTCTTTCCTTGAAAAAGCTTGGACCAGATTGCCGGGCGAAACGTTATATTTACTTCAAATTCATTCGCTGAAATTTAACAAATACATTCTTCCTCTTTAATGCTTCTTTCTTTCTTTCTGTTTGTACACTGTTTATTTATTTTCAAATATTCGTATTATTTTTCTTACAAATAAATGTGAATTACCACTTACGCCTGTTACTCATTGTGGAGAAGCATAAGCCACCCATCAGCACTATTCATCCAACCCTGTCCTGGGCAATGCTTTCCAGTTGTTATTCATCCTTTTCATATCTGCTTCTGTTTTCCGACGTTATGTGTTCTTTGGTCGTCCTCTTTTCAGCTTTTCTTCGGGATTCCAAGTTAGGGCTTGCCTCGTGATGCATTTGGGTGATTTCCATTTCCATCGTCTTTTCCTAATTTCCTCTTCATCTGGAAGCTGGTTTGTTCTTACCCACAGTAGTCTGTTGCTGACGGTATCCGACCAGTAATTAAATTTCGATAAAACAGACGAGGATACCTTTTTAATGTCAGAAGGCGTTTTGTGGATATTATAGTAATTTCGATAGTTGAAATCATGAGTCAGTTGAAGCTAGACCACCACAATAGGACGAAAACGGCCGTTCAGTGCTTCCAGGTTTTCCATGTTGATCTAGCTTCAATTGACTCGTGATCTCAACTATTGACATACCCTTTTTTGTTAAAAAGTATGATGAGAAAATAGTTAATTATTCAAATTCAGTTGAACCAAATCACATCTTCTACTTGGCTATAATTAATTATTTACTTGTAACACATGATAGAGCTTACACAATTAGATGATTTTATTATTATAAATAATTGTTAAAAGTAAAACATAAAGCAATAAAAAGTTTGTATTCACTATGTGACTAAAAATCTATGTAAGTCAATTGTTGTGAAACTGATACTGTTGGTGAAAACAAGAATCTACTATTCTCTGAACCACGCTGTGAGCTTTCAGTCGATTATCACTAATCATTAAACATAACTTTGAAACATATATCATTGTTTCAATAATGAAACCTGTTATATTTTGATGCAAGTAGACTACCAATAAAATAACTATCAAAATAATTAATAGAAAATTATCAATAACTTAATTAAATTGAAGTGTACTTCGAAAAATAACTATCAGGGAAATGAAATCTGATAAGTATGGTAACTTGATCATGTGCTATGACTGATCCATTGTAGGTTTTGTAAAAGTATAAAATTTTGATATTCATCACATGATCATTTAGTATATATATGTAATTATAGCACTTCGAGGTACGGTTTTAGACAATTTTATGCCAACTGTTACTTCGCGATCTCCCAAGTTACCTAAGATATATGGGATTCATAATTTGCATCATTCAGTAAGAAAACAACAAAATGTAAATCGTCAACCACGTAAAAATCCCGTAGTCAGATTAAAAAAGCCGAGAACTTTTGGACTTTATCTGGTAACCAAAAAAAATCAATACAATACTACAAGTTTCCAAATAAGTTTAAGCTATAAAGTATTATGTCGAAGTCCTAATCTTGCACTGAGGAATAATTCTTCAACACATTGTGAATTATTACCAATTGACTATTTAAAACGCGATACTTCAGCAATACATCAAAAACTTCCACGTGAAATAACTACTGATCGATTGTGTGCGTTAATCTTGCCTAGTCCACATATGAAAAAATTAGAAAACAAAAATGTAATATTAAATCAGAAATCAAGAAAATTATTGAAAAAATCTCCAGAATTACAACTAATGAGTGATAAATATCGATTGGCAAAACTTCAAAGTAAAATACCCAAAACAAAACGATTCTTGGATCCCAAACTTTGTGATCGACTTATTTATAACAGTAGTCGATTGAAATTTTTTTATGATTCATTATACCAATGTAACCTTCCAGCAATTAAATTTGTATTGGAACGTGAACCTGGTTTGATTTTAGACGCTATTGAACCGAATACTGGTTATTCTACTCTATTAGTAGCTTTATTAATTAAATCTCCTGTGAGACGAGAAAAACTTATGAAATTGTTATTGAAATATTTAACCAAATATATAAATATGTACAATGATTGTATTAATGAAAATGAGATATGTGAACAGATTATTCAATTGAATGATCCAATTGAAGGACGTGATTGTATTGGTTGGACATGTATATTAGGTTTTGAAAATGAATTCAATTTATTAATTACACATTTATTAGCCAGTATTGATTTTCGTAAATCTGACTTCTATGGTAATACATATTTACATTTAGCTATAATGGGTGGTTCTGTTAATATTGTAAATTGTTTATGTCAATTTATGCGAAAGTATTGTATTTCAATTGAGAATTGTATTAATTTTTCTGGTTTAAATCCAATTCAATTAGCCTATCGTTTACACTTCTATTCAATTTTAGATATTTTAAAACAATCAGTTTGATTAAAATGTCAATAATTTTGTTTGTAATGATCTCTTCTTTAATCTCATCTTAAGGAATTAGATTGATAAATTAAGGTTATAATTGATCTTCATCTAAATCGCTCAGTATGGGGTGATTATAAAAGAAAAGGAGTAAGTATTTTTGTAAAAATATTTTCATCTGTAATATTTTGGACTATCCCGTTGTTAATAATTTACTTAAGTTTTAGTCAATCTTGGTTGACATCTATGCATTATGCATAGATTGTTTCAATATAGCCATAATGTCACAAGTTTCTATAAAGTTCATAGAATGTGACTCTCAGTGGAATCCAAGACTCTTGTTTTGTCATTTTAATTTAATTTTGAACAATACATTCAGGTAAATCCAAATGACGTGTCCTTAATAAAATAAAACGCGAGTCTTTGATTTCGCTGCTAGCTACATTCTATTTATTCTATGTAGAAATATAGTTTATCATTAGGATTCATATAATCTCAATTAAGTTAATTGACCATAACAAACTCCAGTACAATAGTTAAGGTTTATAATTGATTTGGTTGACCTATTAATTTGCAGATCGATTGTATTTTAATGTAAGTCAGAAAATGTAGATAACTTTTTTTCACCATGATTAGTGGTAGGGGGAAAATAGGATGGTTTATTAACTATTTGTAATTTATTGGTTATTGTGTAGTTTTATAAAAACCTAAAAAATGAAAATCAAGAAATTTATTTAGTTACATCATGAATGATTTAATTCAGTTAAAGCATATCTATAGTTCAAATTAGATTAGCATGGTATATATTGAATAATTTTGAATTAATTCATAGCTAAACTGCAAAAGATTTTGTCCCTTTGATCTATTTTATTAGAGTATTAAGTATCTATAATTTTAAGACTATTAGATGGATATTGTAAACATCGCCTGATTCAAACGTCCTAGGTTCATTGATCCAAACTATTTCCAGAATCGAACAAAATTTCTGTTCATGTGTTAGTGCTGTCCAATTTCTAATCAAAACTAACTTCATAATTACTGTTAATAAAGAAAGCATTTAGAAATTTAGCTTTGGTTTGTTTGCAGATTAAAAAAATAGGTTAATAAAAGAAACGGTGAAATAACGGTGATTAATTACTACTGAAATAAGAAAACGGCTCTACGGTTGTACTGATGAATGTATCTTAATATGTACGGAAAATGATTACGATTCTAGAATATCCAGGGAAATTTATAATTAAAAATTTAAACAACGACAAAACTTTAATACTAGAAAATCAAGTTACTAAACAGATAAAGAATTCTTAAAAAGGGCCAAAACTGATGCAGCGAGTTCAAGTCAGATGACTCATATCTGACATTCGTGTATGTACATGTCTAATTAAAGGAATCCTGTAAGTCGATAAGACCAATTATCTCCATTATTGATTCATTCTGCTAGAGACTGGGTTGATAATCAACTAAGACACTGGAACCAATTTGTAAAACGTGGGGTACGCACAGTGTAAAGAGTACTTTTTAACTTACAGAAGTTAAAGACTATATGAATATACCAAATAAACTTGTAGTTTAACATGATATATTTGTGCTGTTTACTAACATTCCTTAAAAAGAAATAATTGATATTATTATCCATTACTAGTATTTCATATCCATACTATATATATAAATCAAAAAGCCTCCAAAACTAGACTAAGCAGAAAAATATCAAGCGCCAGTTGAAAGATAAATTATACTCTCAAGAAGATTGCATGACTGTGAAAAACCTTTTATGATCAGTGCTTGCTGATGTATTTCTTAAAGACATACAGAGAACGAAATAACTGGTTGTTATAAATGTGATTACATCCTGTATTAGGTATGCCGATGATACTTTTGCATCAGAGTAACATAAATTACGTCAATAAGGTACAAAACGTTTCAAATAAAGTTGAATCCAATATTAAATATACAATGGAACATAGAAGAAATGATGAAGTCCAACTAGAGGAGGAAAGTAAATTAATCAATAACTGTCTTCGAAGCTACCTTCAGGAGTCTAACAATATATAGCACTAAACATCATGGTTCGATATAGGCTGGCAAAACCGTTTTAGCGACCTATCTGACTCCATAATCTATGGATTCCCAATATATAAGTGCCGGATTAACGTCAAGTATATTTTTCGACTTGTCACGTTTATACAACTTTGCATCGGAATTAGAATAGGAAGTGTTATTAGAAATGTTATATTTCAGATATATGTATGAAAGATAAACACATGCAGAATGGAATTAGCATACTACCCAACTCCAATTACTTTTGTGCATGTAGAGTAAATGCAATGGTTTAATAGTAATAAATGAAAACAAAAAGACAAGGCGCACATGTAAAACAATACTATATGGCCAAATGAATTAATAGGGTCACTTATAAAATAATACGTCCATAGGTCACAATTACATATGAGAAGCACTGAGTTATTAGGAGGATTAAAATGACTAGTTAGTCACTTTCTCTATGAGTTATTATTGTTGTCTATGTTACCTATAGATTCAGGGCAATGTATACGAAGATATGACACCATAAAAGAAACATGCTTTTGTCCACTTGATGTTTAGAGCATAGATAAAATAAACATACACCAAATGCAACCCTAAAAAGTACATTTCTAGCAGCGAAATCGGTTCAACAGTATAAAAAACGAAATACACAATAACAAGCAAAGGAGGACAAATACCAATCATACGTCATATCTAACTGAATACACCAGTTCACAAGCACGTTCAAAAACATTTACATTTGAAGGACAGAAAGATGGAGACCTACACATTGTCCAATAAACATAAACCTCTGGAAACATAACAGCCTTCTGTCTTGACTATTAAAAGGCTTTAACCTAATCTTTGGATTCAAAAATAGTTAGCAATTAATCTTCAAGTGGCTTAAGGCACTTTCAGATAATAACAGCTCATCACAAATGAGTTTTGAATATAACTCTTCTAAGTTTAGGTTTTATAACCAAATTTTAGAAAATCAAAGATTTGTTTTCAGCCCCATGTGGTAGGAGAACTCATGATCTTGAAATTTAGCCTGGATATTTTCATAGCTTCTAAGAGCACTTCAAACTGACTTTGGAACCTGAGTGAAAGGTTGTTGGAATCCTTGAAGTATGGAATCAGAGTTTAAACTGTTATTTCGCCTTCTATCATGATACCTGTCAGAATTATTTTTAAGTTCTTCTTTCGTCGACAGACGCTTACATGAAACCATTTTCAAGTCCTTAATTTCCAAATAGGTACAAATGTTAAGACTCTACTGGTAGCTGCTGTAGGGGCAGGATGACTGTAACTTTATAAGACAACAGTGCCTATTGAGTTTAACGTTATGACCGAATAGTCTTTTCGTGACATTTTGTATATAGTTGATCCGTTTCTATTTATGAACTAGACTTCCAATCATTTTATTCGTCTGTGAAAAGTAAACGGATGATAGCTCATCAGGTTTGATATTCTGCCGGCTGAGAACCCTCTCTTTTTTCTTATTATTTAAGCTCAACCTTATTTTTCTCAAATAATCGATAAGATTAGAAAAGTTTCGAAACATAAATAACCAAAGAAAATGATCGGGACCAGAACTCACCTTCATAGTGCCAGCTAGTTAGTAAAAGTGGGATGTGACAATTGCTCCTTTGTTTGATGCACAAAAAATACACTAAAACAAGGCCATAGTTCATAGAATTTATTCCGTAACATAGTCTAAGAAATTACGAAAATCTTGCTAAAACTTTAATTCGTAACTGTATTTACACTTCGAACGAATTAATATTTGTCAATTTAGGATTTCACTTCTTAAAATTCTAATTATCTTAATATTCTGATGAAGCTAAACTTATTATATTGCATATAGTTGAACAACAAGAAAAATAATACAGTGAATTCCCCATATTCTGCAAGTAATGTCGTTCTCACTCTGCGTAAGAATAAAAATATCTTCTTGATGTTCCATGGGAACAATATACGCTAGCTGAAGTTACTGTAAAGTATGTAATTAGTATTATTATGTTATTATAATGAGCGCATATTTACTTAAGAATGACGGTGCTTGAATTTAATGATAGTAATTTTATCAACCATAATATAAATCAGCTGCTTTACAAATCAACGAAGTTACCAACATATTTTGGGGATAATTTTATAAGAAGAGCATTGAAATATTCTATTTTTATAGGCCTATTTTCCACAGTATAAAATTCAAATAGTTCATTATTTCGATTGAACTTAAGTTGGGTTGGTAAGCAATTACTAGGGTTATTTTCTGATTTCTGTTATATCTACTTGTAAGTAGTCACGATAAATTATGTAAATAAACATGTCTGTTTTACTTGGCCAATTTCAATTGTTTGTAAATTCACAAACAGTGGGTGAACTGATTAGCAGTCCATTAAAAAAGTTTATGGCACAAGTCATCTTATGAACTACCGGAGTGAGAAACGCTTATATGGAGAGTGAGGTTGATTATCTTTAAAAATAATAAATAGATATGGGATTAATAGTTTACTCAAGTTACATGATTGGAAAGTTCAATAAACCTTTACAATAGTTATCTTAACACACTGTATCAACAAAAGATGACAGTTATGTGCTTAAATTCTGTCGATGTCATCGAGGAAGTGTTTAGCTTTTTGCTTCCAAACTTAAGAATTTTTCAGCAAACTCCGAAGTTTGTAATTATGGATAAACATTCTCTGAGTGATTACATACTTCATCAAGAACTTATCCCATAATGATTGTTAAATTAATTACTGATCCATCTTCTAAGTTAAAATTTATTTAATCATATCACTGTATATTTACCAGGCTTTTTCAAACTATAATGAAGTTATCAAAACATTGTTTCTTATACTTAAAGCTTATTACTTTAAACCTACTTTCTTAAACGACTGAAGCATAAAGTGTAAACTGTCTTTTACAGAGCATTGTGATGCATAAAATAATAAATGATTGGTTCTTATTCTAGTGAAAACTATAGCATGGTA